GTTAAAGAGCAAGGATATTAGTTTGAGGACCAAGGTGTGCCTGACCCAATTCATAGTATTTTCAGTAGTCTCATATGCATGTGAAAGGTAGACAATGAATAAAGAAGACCATACAGGAACTGGTGCATTTGAGTTATGGTATTGAAGAATACTGAAAGTACCATGGACTGCTAGAAGAACAAACAAATCTTTGTTAGAGGAAGTACAGTTAGATGTTCCTTAGAAGTCAGGATAAGACTTAGTCTCTCATACTTCGAACACGTAGTCAGGAGGGAGGAATCACTGGACAAGGACATTATGTGTGGTAAAATGTCCTGCGGGAGAAAGATGAGTCCCAAATCAGCATGTCAAACGGCAGGTTGCAGGCTCATGTCCCAAGAATCAAAGGTTAGAGAGAGGACGAGTCAGATGCAGGATCCAGAGTGAGAGACAGCTTTGGTGAAAAAGAGGAAGAGCCCTCTTTTTGGATTGGCACAGTTGTGGCAGCAGCAATGGGCTCAAGCATAGCAACAATTGTGAGGATGGCACAGGACTGGGTAGTGTTTTTTTCTGTTGTGCACGAGGTTTCTATGAGTTGGAACTGTCTCGACACAACAAATATAAATGATGGTTCTAGTAAGTTGTCCCCCCACCTCCTCACACCTAAAGATGGTAATTTTTTCTTCTATATGGATAAAACCCATCACAACTGGAAGTATTTGTAAGTGTTAATCTGTTGCTTAGCATTTAACAACACCACCCACCAATCTTTTCCTTATGATCAAAAATGTTTTTTCACAGGAAATGTCTGTTGCGTCATCAACACTTGAGTTATTGGGGAAGTTCATTTTGTAATGCTGTAAAGTCCTTTATATTTCCTCTCTCAATTTGAGCAGGTTGTTTTTGTTAAATGTCATCCAGTCGGTTCTGACTCATAGTGACCCTGTACAGGGTTTCCGAGGCTATAAATCTTTGCAGGAGCAGAAAGCCTCATCTTACCCCTAGGAGCAGTTGGTGGGCTTGAACTACCCACCTTGTAGTTTGCAGTCCAGTGATGAATGATATATCTATCTCTTTTACTATATTTATTTAAATAGTAAATTGTTATTTGTTTTTGTCATTGTTGTTGTTAGGTGCCATCGATGGGTTCTGACTCATAGTGACCCTATGTGGGGTTTCTGAGGAGCTGTTGGTGGGTTTGAACTGCCAATCTTGTGGTTCCCTGTCCAGTGTTGATCTTACAGCACCACACCAGGATTACCCTATAAATCCCACCCTACTTTCACCTCCTAATAACAGTTGTCAAAGTCCCTATAGCTAAGTCTTTAAGCAGAAGGCTAGGCAGAAATGACTACGAGGCTGGGAAGCTTGAAATTGCCCTCAAGGGGTAGTAGTGGCTGGTCAGAAAGTTAGGGAAGGAACAGTTTATCCAAAATGCTGACTGCAGTGGCCAGTGAGGCTGGACTACTCTTGCAGTAGACGTGTTCAGGCAGCATTTGGGAAAATACCTAGAACTTCAGACTTTGGAAAATGCTAAATCATTAACCCTTATTTTCTGGTCCTTCTTCCTGATCTGTCTGATTTTGAAGGTTGCTTTAGAATGTGTATTCACTAAAGCTGATTCAGCCCAGTCAACCTGGCCTGTAATCCTTAGTTGCTAGACAGAAAGAAATGGGATAAAATAGGATGTGTGTGGTTGGGGGAGGTGGAAAGGGTGCTGGATAAAAGAGGCCTATGTGAGCACACACATGATAATGAAACAGTTTCTACATCATCAGTTCAAAGTGATTTATTACAAAAAACAAAACAAAACAAAAAACAGAATCCACTGCCATCTAGTCAATTCTAACTCTTAGTGACGCTAAAAGATAGAGTAGAACTGCCCCCATTGAGGTTTCCAGGCTGCAATATTTAAGGAAGCAGACTGCCACTTCCTCCTCCCATGGAATGGATAGTGAGTTCAAATTGCTGACAACCTTTTGATTAACAGATGACCACTTATACACTATGCCACCAGGGCTCAGTGAGTTACTATGAAATGACATTAAAATATAACAATAAAACATTTAATAAATAAATAAATAAAATAAAGATGAGAAAATAATAAATAAATAATAAAATACAGATGAGAAAACAAGCTCACACATCTTCCTCCTGCCACTGTGACAGTGGTCTGCCTTAGTCACAATGCAACTTTCGCATATATATGCCTTCAAAACCTTGTTAGAGTTCAATCAAAACAATAGCTTTGAAAGGGAATTGCTGGGATGGTTGAATTCAAGACAGGCCCATTCAGAAGGTTATGATGACTATTTTTAGGACTCCAAAGTGATAATCTTGATAGATTTCCTTGAAGGATACACAACAATGGGGGCTTAGTATGAAGGAGTTTTAAGATAACTGAAAACTGCATCTGTGAGAAAATGGCCGGAAATGCTACACCAAGACAATTTTCCATCATGACAATGTACTTACCTATTCATTCTTTGAGAGTAGCAAGGGCTGTCCTTGTTTGTGTTGTTGAGAAACCTTACTCCCTCTACCCTACTGCCCTGATCAGATGTCTCTTTGTTCCCAGAATCCAAAGCACTTTGAAAAGGAACATGAAGTGAGTCCCATGAGGATGCTCAAACTGCTGTTTTGATGTAATGTAACTTGAAGAGTGCAAAGTTCACAGGGAAGGATTAAAGAGATGGAAACACTGACTTCATAAGGGGATAGATCCAGATGGAGGACATGTGAGACACAGTAGCTTCACATTTTGCTATTTTTTATTTCGTGGCAATTCTTTTTTACTTTCCCGTGTGTGTGTGTGTGTGTGTGTGTGTGTGTTTATTTCCTGATGTGGTGATGTGGGTTAATGAACTGAACTGCAAAGTTAGTTTGATCCGTAAGGATGGTGGTTCAAGCTCACCAGCTACTCCTTGGAAACCCTATACAGAGTCGCTATGGGTTGGAATTCACTCAATGCACTTAACAACAATATATATATATATGGAGCTCTGGTAGCGTAGTGGTTACGAATCGGGCTGCGAACCTTAAGGACAGCGGTTCGAAACTACCAGCCGCTCCGCGGGAGAAAGATGAGGCTTTC